GTCCACTATTACGATTATTACTGTTGCTTTAATAGTACAGTATTAAAGCAATATAAAATATTTAATTGTATATGAATGTTAAATCATATATAATTACGTTATTCATAAAAGTGTCTATGGATAGAGCATGTAAAAAAACGAAGTAGATTTAAGGAACATTGTAACAAACTCTTTTACATTTTTTACAATGATATTCACCCTGCACAAAGCCATAGAGTCACACGAGGCAGAGGTTACAGACTGTAAAAGGTATAGTTTATGGCTATATTTGGGGGAGATAACGGTTAACCCTAGACTTGAACAGGTTAAGATTATGGTGATCGGGAAAGCCTCTTCTCGGGTGTCGGTTTCAGAAAGCAGTGGTCCGTGGGAAGAAGTTGCTCAGGTTGAATTTACATCTAACTAATGGAATACGAAAGGAAAGAGGGTGACTCGCTATAATGTGCGTGGCATGGCAAGTCTTAGTCGTGAAGACTAGAACTGGTGGAACATTTAGAATCATAAACAGACAGATGACATTTCTAGGATACATAACGAGGAAAGAAGATTTTGAAGAAAAAGACACATTGAAGGCAAGAGAGGAAAACATCGAGTGATCTATCTAACGGTCTTGTGTAAAAGGATGACAGAACAAGTCTTGAGAGGGAAAGTAAAAATAAAACAAACGTTGCTAAGAGCTACAAAAGATTGGCAATTGTGGTGAACCATGGTCACCCAAACCACGGCACTTATAAGAAGACACGCTACTACACTTTCACACATCCACCCGCCTTGTTATAATATTTCGCCCTGTTTACGTGGCTATCCTTTTTGCACTGCTTCCATTCATCACTTCATGTACTTTACTGTTAATTTCAAACCAAGTATTAAGGCTGGTGTTCAACGCGTTCCCAATCAACAGGTTTTTATATTCTATACCAAGAACAATTATACCTGATACTGATTCTTTATAAACCATAATATTTTATTTAGAGATAAATCAGAATATCACTGCTAATTATATATGTAGATAAGATATATTAATATTTCGAGACAACGAAGAAACGTAAGACTAAGATTTCTATTTTGAAAGGATTTGTATTCTATTTTAAATCTAGCATAAAAACTAAAATATTGTAGAAATGGCGCTATTAAACTTTCCCACTCCCAGCCTTGCCTTAATATTTCGCCGCGATGATTTTTTTTTTTCCCAAGAAATAATTTTTTCCTGTTAGCTGTCCCGTTTTACAATATATTCGCATCCTGGGTAAGACGATAAACTACGTCCAACAGCAAAGCCACGGATCAGGAGGTTTTGAGGAACGTGGAACCACCTCTGAATTCCTGGTGTTCCCAGATCCACAGTGACGCGGGGTGGTAGCCTCTGTTAGGGACCCAGCTATGGACAAATAGTTAACTATTACCAGCAAATCTTTTTTTCTAATTATTACCAGCAAGACAATTTTGAAGGAAAAATATTAGCAGACACAGATTTTTGACAAAACAAAATATTACCAGCAATAAAAAAAAACTGTCGGCATTAAATAACCCATTGAGATTGATATGCCGTAAAACAAAATAAACCAAATCTATCTAAACCAAAGAATATATATTTTATTCATACGAATCTATACTAAAAATGTTGTCGGTATTAAATAACCCATTGAGGTTGATATGCAGTTAAACAAAATAAACCAAATCAATCTAAACCAAAAAATACATATTCTATTCATATGAAGCTATCCTAAAAATGTCGTCGGCATTAAATACCCTATTGAGGTCGATGTGCTGTTAAATTAAATAAACCAAACCAATCTAAACCAAAGAATACATATTCTATTTGTACGAATCTATCCTAAAAATGTCGTCGACATTAAATAACCCATTGAGGTTGATATGCCGTTAAACAAAATAAACCAAATCAATCTAAACTAAAGAATATATATTCTATTCATACGAATCTATCCTAAAAATGCTGACGGCATTAAATAACACATTTAGGTGTTGATATGCCGTTAAACAAAATAAACCAAATCAATCTAAACTAAAGAATACATATTCTATTTATACGAATCTATCCTAAAAATGTCGTCGACATTAAATAACCCATTGAGGTTGATATGCCGTTAAACAAAATAAACCAAATCAATCTAAACTAAAGAATATATATTCTATTCATACGAATCTATCCTAAAAATGCTGACGGCATTAAATAACACATTTAGGTGTTGATATGCCGTTAAACCAAATAAACTAAACTCTCTTTTTCTCCTTGCTTACATTCATCACTTCATGTGTTTTACTTTTCATTTCAAACCAAGTATTATGGCTGGTGTTCAACGCGTTCCCAATCAACAGATTTTTGAAGATATCCTATATTGAAGATTGGCGCACACTTTTACAACAATATCCATAACTGCATTAACTGGTGCCGTAACTATGATTTGCTAGTATTCAGTATTGTTTGCATTGCTTGCATAAGCCGTTGTAGGGAACAAACCTATTCGCGATCAGTGGACAACAGGATTTGGAGGTGTGCACGTAAAGCTTTTGCCGGAAGACAATAAGCATTCGGAAGGGTCGCGGGAAAAAAAAACATGGCGGATTGGGGTGGGTGTGAAAATGTAATAGCGTCGAACATTACTATATAAAAAAAAGAAAATATCTTTGTCTGAGATGAGCTTCTATATTTTTTTCTCATATCGCATATCTATGTGGTTTCCTAATCGTGGAGCAGTGGTCAGCAAGTTTATCTCGAAATTATTTAAATCTTTACTAGATGTGTGTTAGAATTAATTATTAAATTAAACATCCGTGGAGCAATGACAAAAAAAGTTAACCAAGCCCATTTCTACTGCGGAGAATTCAAACCCAGCTGGGCTCTACAAGTTTACGTTCTTGTACCAGACTAAGCAAGGTGAAGTAATGGTTAGCGGCTCGGATTTAGTTAATCAGAGAGCCGAGTTCGAATTCCAGTCTGATCCATCACATTCACTTATGTGCTAATATTCTTGGGAAAGATATTAATCCTCTTTTCTTCCCCCAGCTATGGATAAATAGTGGAACAGATTGGGTTCTATAGCCTTGTGTAGCAACAGGCCAGGGAGAAAGAAAACTCTGAATTAAAACCGGCCTAGAGAAAGTTAGGCTCCGTCAGACTATCTTGCCTAAGAAACACCACTTCCACTGCAGCTGCAGTACATGTAGTGCTCCTACGACCCTGATGAGTCAAGGAATTCTCGATCACGATCAACCAGTTTAGCTTAGTAAATATCAAGAAACCGCAAGTCTAACTATTCTGGGTGCTCCACATTTGTGGCCTTGTATCAGACTAAACTTAATTTATTAAATAACTCTATTTTTCTGAATATTTATTTATTTATTTTTTCACATCAGATCGACTTTCACACTACGACGTAGGGCAAGCTGTCAACTACTATGCATTTTTTTCTTTTTTTTTTTTTTTGTTAGTTTGATTCCCATGTCAGCAACTGACAACATTTGAATTATATTACGGTCATATCTTCTTGTTATTAAAAAAAAAACAAAAAAACAAAAAAACAAAAATAACAGAAAGATTAAATAATAAGACGAATTGAAAACAATTGCAAATTGAAAACAACAGCTGGCGTTTGTTCATGTCCACGACCAAGTGCATCATATACAGTTTCAAGACAACGTGATATGCAACACACCATACACGCAACTGCCTCGCTCAACGTCGGCAGCTGGGCTGATGATAAATTACACGACCCCTGGAAGTGAATGGCCCCAGGCCAGTAAAAAAAGACGACATTTGAGTGCGGTGAGTGTACCGCGTGACACTAACACAAATACAGGAGAGGGTCAAAATAATCTAGGGAAGAGAATAGAATGAAATGAGAGAAAAAATAAAGTTTAAAAGAAAAAAAAAAAAAGGTCAGGGGTGCTTCTAAATAAATGACATGTGGAGAGCATTTGAAGATGTTTTTCACCCCCCGACACCCACCGACGCAATGAAGTGTTGTGTACAGTCAACAGAGGTACTGGAAATAAGTGTTCTGGAACATTACGAAAGATCGGCGGGAAGAATGGCTTATTTATTTATAAATTCATGCCATTTCATACGAAAGTCAGAGATAATATACATAAGTAGCTGTTAGTGAACCGCAATATTGAAGTCATAACACTAAACAAAAAAATGTCATTCGTACACACAAACAGATAGACAGATAGATAGATAGATAGATAGATAGATAGATAGATAGATAGATAGATAGATAGATAGATTGCAAAAGATAGCTAGATAGAAAGATAGATATGAACAGATTGCAATAGATAGATATGAACAGATGACAAAAATAGATAGATATGAACAAATTGAAAAAAGATAGATAGATAGATAGAGAGATAGATAGATAGATAGATAGATAGATAGATAGATAGATAGATATGAACAGATTGCAAAAGATAGCTAGATAGACAGAAAGATAGATATGAACAGATTGCAAAGGATAGATAGATAGATAGATAGATAGATAGATAGATAGATAGATAGATAGATAGATTGCAAAAGATAGCTAGATAGAAAGATAGATATGAACAGATTGCAATAGATAGATATGAACAGATGACAAAAATAGATAGATATGAACAAATTGAAAAAAGATAGATAGATAGATAGATAGATATGAACAGATTGCAAAAGATAGCGAGATAGACAGAAAAATAGATATGAACAGATTGCAAAGGATATATATATAGATAGATAGATAGATAGATAGATAGATAGATAGATAGATAGATAGATAGATAGATAGAATGTGGGCATAGAAATATACACTGCATGCTTAATGTAGTTTTCACGCCTCAAGCGAGTTTCAGACCATTGTCACTATTTCTTTAGCGGGCACCACATGCAACTTAGGGGGTTAATATTAATGGTAACACCAGTCGTTTCCTTACAAGGAAACATTCGACATTTATTGACCGAGTCGCCCGTGGTTCTGTTGGTTGAAATCTTTTTCTTAAAGGCTTCCGGACACATCACGTTGAAACACCGGTTCCCATACGATCACCGAAGTTAAGCAACGTCGATTCTGGTCAGTACCTAAATGGGTGTTCACTTTGGAATAGCAAAAGCTGTAAGCTTGCATGTGCGGGTGGTTTAATGAAACTCAGAACTGTTAATCACAGAGCCGAGTTTCAATTCCAATTGGGTTCATTATATTCACTTACGCGCATTTACCGCTTGGGAAAAGGTATGAATCGACCTCTTCTCCCCCAGCTTTGGGTTAATTAGTAAGACTTGTATCAATAAAACCAGTATTATCTAAAATAAATAAATAAATAAAATTGCGTACAAAATATTTATATTTCGGCACTAAATAACCCATAGAGATGTTGATATGCCGCTAAACAAAAATAACGTTCTCTTAAAACAATTTTTCAAGAAAATAGCTTTCTCAAGTCCAGTAGCTGTTATCGTTCTTTCCAATATCGATTGGGGTTTTCTTCCTAACCTTTTATTTGAAGCAGCGTGAAATATCAACATCTTGATTATGTTATTATATTCTCTTTCAGTTACATGTGCTATCCATTTTAGTTGTTGCTGCTCTTGTGATGTGATATCTCTTATTTGGTAAAGTTCTTTGTGATTCTAGCGCCAGACCACAAGGCTTGAAAAAAGATGGACTGCGCCAAGACCCTCAGATTTCACTTGATCTGAAACAATGGTTGTAAACAGCTGACATTTTTGACATCATTACTGAAAGACGACAGAAAATCGACGTATTGATACATGTTTTTTAATCCTATCTAAGCTTTCGGCTTTTATATGCCATCATCAAAGATGACAATTACATTACAATATATTAAACAATACACGGACATAGCAATATTGATAGTATGTTTTTGTTTGCATAGAAGATTTCCAAGCAACGACAAACTCGTGCATACGAGACGCTGGAAGCGAATCAATTCTCGGTAGTGAATGCGCACTGTTGATGAGTCCCAAATATAGGACGAAACAGCTGTCCAGTGCTTTCTGCATTCTGTTGAGGTTTCTTCTAGATTCGATGAATTACTTAATTAGAATTATCTCAAATGCTCCTAATATTTTCTATCACTTGTATATCCTTTCTTGAACCGGCTTCTAATGCTCTGGATGGAGCGGCTTGGTGATAGCAGTCGTGGCTTGTGGGGGTACAGTCCTATAGGTAAAAGAGAAACTCGGATGAGTTACATCATGGAATTTGTGATCGAGCGGCGCTATATTGAGTCTGATTCGGTACCTCTCCGTCACCGAGGCCCGTTAGAACAATTGGTATGCCCTTTGTTTGATAACAGAACTGTCCAGGTTTCAATTCTCAGTAGTGGATGCACACTGCTAATGAGTCCCAAATATTAGACGAAACGGCCATCCAGTGCTTTCTGCGTTCTGTTGAGGTTTCTTCTAGACTCGATGAATTAATTCTATATATGTAATTAATTGTTTCTTTTATACATTTCCATTGGTTTATTTTTAGTTTGCTCCTTAGTTTTGGACATATTTCCTCTACTATTTGCTTGCTTATTTTTCCGATGTTCGTTTTTGTAGGGTTTATTAATCTACATATTGGTTTGTTAAAGTTGTCCTTAAGGTGTGTTTTTTTTTTAAACTCATGAATGGTTCTACTTTTGGTAGTTGTTCGATCCTTTTGTCTAGTTTTAATTTGGCGGCTATATTTTTTTCTTGCTTTCTTATTTCTGTTGTTTTCCACTTTGTCATTGATCTTTCCTCTCGCCTCCCTCCTCTCTCTCTCTCTCTCTCTCTCTCTCTCTCTCTCTCTTTCCATATTGTTGCTAGGGGTTTTATAGAACTTAATGATTTCTTTTTCAACTATTTTTTATAGTCATTAATGTCCATTTTGTTCTAGATTTGTCGGCTTGTATATATTGTTTTTTTTTTATTTGTTTATCGTTTTTTGTTCTTTTTCCAGTTGTTTTTTGGAATTTGTTGTCTAATTTTCATATTTCTAGTTTGATTAATATGTTTATTATGTCGTTTCTAAATGCAATCAGATCACTTCACTATGATGGGGATTTTTTGACGAAAATTCAAAGTTATTGTGGTTGTTGTTGTTAATTTTGTTAAGGAAGTAAAATACTTTCCATCTTATGCGTTTTATAAAAATATTCTATTTTTTCAGTGAGCTTGATTTTATAGTCGTATATGTTTCATATAGGTATTTTTTTTTAGTGAATAAATGAATTGTATTTGTTCTATGTTGTTGTGAGTCTGATATTTTGAGGTTTCAGCAGCAGGGTTGGTTGTTGTCAGAAAGTGGTTGTGTGAAGACAAATGTCTGCGAAAGTGCTCGACTGGGGAGTTTTTTCTTCTCTCTCCTGAATAGTATTAAATTGTAACAGTGTTAGGTGTCAAAATTACTGCTTAGTTTTTGTAGTTTACTTGTGGAAAAGCATTTTAGACAGTTAGGTTTTTTGTCTTAAAGTGCTCGATATCAAAAAGTAAGGATTAGAGCGTTAATAGAATTAATATGGAGAAACTTGTCACTTAACCGAGTGGAGTTATTTCAGTCATGCCGACTTCGAAGTTTCGTGAGCGCATTCTTGCAATGTATTCACTCTTCAGGACTATTGGCTTGTTTGCTGCTACTTCTCAACACTTTCGTATTTATGTATAGCTGTGTGTAATTTGATATTTTTGTGTGAGTGCGTGATTTTTCACTTAATGAGTATTGTATTATCTGTTTTTATCTTTAAGTTCTTTAGCTGTTTCTTAAGTGGTGTAGAGTTTCTTGTTGATTGTTTGCTCTATACTGTTCTGACCTCTTTTGAACGTGTTTATATATATGCTCGCTTAATTGTTTCATATAGATGGACCTCTTTTTACTGTGTCAGTGTATATGGCCGCTTGATTATTTTATTTATTTTTAGCTCATGATTAGGTGTTTGTACTTGTGTCTCTTTGTATATATATATATATATATATATATATATATATATATATAAAAAAGAGAGAGGAGGGGAATCTATGGCAAAGTGGTGAAAAGATTTCGTGTGATAACGCGTCACACGAAACATGATAACATCACCGTTATTAAATATCCAACATTGTGATAACAGAAGAACTGGGTGTATCAAAAATACTTTTACAATTTTTTTGTGGGGGGGGGTTTCCGATTCCTCGCACAAAAACAAAGACAAAAGTCCATGTAGACATATGTCCGAAAATCCTTCGTTTTAGAGCAAATTAGATTTAAAGAAAGTTTACGATAGATGTCGCTGTGTAGACTAGGTTACATTTGTCATTCGTGTACATTTGTGTCAAATCTGATTTCAACATTTAACGTGTGTAGTTGTGAGTTAACTGAGAATGGTTCCAATTTGAAAATAGCAGGATATTCATATCGTGAACAGGTAGATATGATTTTTACATACGGCCGCACCAATGATAATGAACACGAGGCTCAACAGCTGTAAAAAGTTGCGTTTCCAGACAGAAGGCAGCCGAGTCATCCAACATTTGCTTCTGTTTATCCTCGCGTTGCTGGGACATGATCCGTGGCACCACAAACTATGAATCGAGGAAGACCGAGACCCGCTCGTAGGCCTTCCCACGAAGGACACGTTCTACTGACTGTCGGGGACAATCCTGGTAGCAGCAAATGTCATAGTGGCTCTAGTATATCGTACATGTCATAGTTCCGCTTGGCAACGTTTTCAGGGCCTTTCGCTCTCTGATCACTCACCACGGGAGAACTTTTCCTGATGGTTTATTGCACAAACTGCTGATCCGTTGTTTATCTTTTCAGTCTTGTTTAAGGATGAGTCAACACTTGGAAGAGATGGAATAACAAATTTACACAACCAACGTTTGTGGGCGGATCGGAATCCCCATGGTGCAATACAGGCTAGACACCAGCATCAGTTTACGATTAATGTGTTGGCGGGAATTGTAGGTGAATGTCTGGTATGTCCGTATTTTCTCCCAGCACGTCTTACATTAGTTGTTTACAGGAAGTTTATTTCGAACACACTTCCAGACCTGCTAGAGGATGTATCCCTGCTAAGTCACATGTGGTTCATTCATGATGGGGCTCCAGCAGATTTTAGTCACATTGTTCGGGATACACTGGCTGACATCTACCATGACAGATAGATAGGTAGTGGGGACCGGTTCCATTGACTGCACGTTCTCCCGATCTCAATCAATGAATTTTTTTTATCTGTGGGACCACCTAAAACAATTGGTTTATGCAGAATACATTAATAATGTAGAAACGCTTCATCAACGTGTCATGGGGACCTGCGAAATCATTTGACACCGTCTGGGAAAATTCGAAATGATCAAGTCAATGATCTGACGGATGCAGGCGTGTGTAGAAGCTGGGGGGATATTTTGAATATTTCTTATGAGTTGCTGTGTTAAGGTACAACGATGGCCTTTTGGACATAAGTTTATATGGACATTTTACCTTATTTTGGTGTCTGGAAATCGCCCCAAAGTTTATAAAAATATTTTTAGATTGTATTTTGAATTGCACATTTAACAGCGTCTATCGCAAACTTTAAACTTAATAACTCAAAAACGAAAGATTTGCAGACATATTTATATAGACTTTTCTCCTTGTTTTGGTGTGAGGAGCCCACCCACCAAATTTTGTAAAAGTATTTTTGGCACACCCTGTATGCATATATATATATATATACTTATTTTTAAGACACTTTTTATGTTTATACGTTCTTTTTATAGATACAAATATTTAAGTAAGTGCTCTTTTTTATAATAAACAGTATTAATAACATTTACCAGCCTGAATTCCGAGAAATTTTCATAGAAAATATGCGCCCTCCGGCAGGAATCGAACCGTCATATAGCCTAACGTGCTTTTACCGATTGGGCTACAGAGAAGCGTTTCGGTTAGCAAGGTCGATTTTTACTATTTTTAAACTACAATTCTCCATGATTTTCAATTATAAATTCATATCTATTCCATGCGTATCCAAAAATAAACAAATGACGTCACACATGTCTTAAAAATAATTGTCGGTCTTTGTCCATTTCATAATATATATATATATATATATATATAGTGGGTTGGTGCATAATTATCAGGCGTTTTTAAACAATATTTATTATTAAAA